ATGTTTTCTGTTCACAGCAGGCAGGTGGTCCCCGAATCTTCTCACCACACGTTGGGTTTCCTTCTTAAAGGGGTCCTGGAGTCTAGAACCACACCAGTTGTTTTTTACCTAAAAATGTTGTAGGATCACATTTTAGAAGTCTTACCTATCAAATGTAACACAACTAAAGGACCACATGTGTGCTGGCCTTTCTATGCTAAGGTGCTTTCTCAATATGAGTGCTTCAAATTGTCTTACATGACCATTATTTGTAGTTTATTGTTCAATGTGTTGCTAAGGGACAGGTTGCTGCTAAAACCACCAACACTGTGATTATACAGCCATCGTCTCCTTTGCCTTAGCCGCCAAGGAGAGATCTAGACTAGGACTAGATCTACACCTGAGGGGAGTACAACGTTGACTAGTCTTTTTAAATGATTATCAACAGAAGTATTTATTTATTGCGTTAAACTGATACAGTATCTTAAAAAAGCATCCACTGTCAGCCCTCAAAGGCAATGTGTAATTTGTGTGCTATTGTGAAACTCCTCCTCAGGTCATCTAATGGGAGTCAATGTGGATCTGACTCTTTCACAGCGTGATCAGTGACATCTTCTTCTAAGAACCTCCCTGCACAATCAGAACTTTATTTTTAAGCTCCACACCCTCAGTGTTCACCATCAGCCCTTTAGTCTGAGGTAAAAAAACCCTGCTGACATCATCCGGGTTTTATTTTCACGCTGACGAAGCTGCCTCCAGACCTAAAGAATACACCCTCCAAGGGATCGTACTGGATTGTAAAGTGACCTTCACGTATGAACTTGGTGGAGTTCCCCTTTAAAATCCCCCACATTCCCCAGAAACAATACGTGACATCTGTGTCCTCAGCAGCACCTACACAGCCCTGCTGATAAGCCATACATCCATACACGTCTGTGTTCTACTCTCCGCCTCGGCAACCCAAGAACGCCGAGGCCCACGGGGACAGCGAGGCGTTTGTATGAACCCAAACAAAAATCTCTGGAAGTCGTCGCTGCTGATGAAGGTCAGAGCAGCAGCACAAAGCAGCGCACGCTAATTCTTTTTCTCTCGCAACCAGCATGCCTTGGCCGCCTGCCTGACTGTGGCAGGTGGTCTGAGTGACAGTTTGCCCTGTTTGTCTGTCCGGCCCTTGAGGTTGGAGCTAAAAATAGACCCAAGCTTTGAGGGCCACATCCTCGGTGTCAGCAGGACGACGTCATCATGCGGCTGGGAGGGACCGAGCACAGGGCTTCACTTCCTCCACCGGCTAAGAGTGGTTGGAATTGTCCAGTATACGGTTAACATATACAACCAGCAGGGTCTCCCCCCCTCGCCCCCCATATCAGAATCAGAGGTATTTTATTGATGCCTGAGAGGAAATCGTTTATGTTACAGTTGCTCCCATTCAGGTCATTTAGAAAAAAACAATAAAAATTAAACATTAGTAGAAAAATGTGTCCTAAAATATAACATACGTAGAAAGTAAAAATGTAAAAATGTACATTGTACTAAGAAACTAAAAGTGTAATAAATAGTAATGGAGTTATAACTGTGTTATTGCATCAAGATGTAGTTATTGTACATTATTACGTGTCAACCCTAGAAGTGAATATTAGTCAGCTGCTTGCAGGTGAAACAACATGAGAGTCAGACTGCTGG